GGGTTGGACCTAATGGCTTGCTTCTAATTCATAGAGTGTGGCATGTCACCTCTGTGATTAGATGACAAAAGACTATGACTTATGTCTTGCTAGCAGTCTCTCTCTTGCTGGCCCTCTCTCTTGCACTCTTGCTTGCTTCTCTGATGAAGCAAGCTGCCATGTTTTGAGATGCTCTATGGAGAGATCCACAAGGCAAGGCACTGAGGGAGGCCTCAGGCCAACAGCTCATGAGGATCTAAGGCCTTAGCCTAAAGCCTGTGAGCTACTGAGTCAACAATGATGTGAGTGAGCTAGGAAGCAGATCCATCCCGACTGAGACTTGAGATGACTGCAGCCCTGAGACAGACCCAGAGCCAGAGGACCAAATTAAGCTGCACCACGATTTCTGACCCACAGAAATGGAGACAATAAGTGTTGTTTTAAGTTACTATGTTTTCGGGTAATTTGTTATGCAGAAAAAGATATCTAATACATATCCCATTTTGTAGACGAAGACACTGAAAGTTAGGGAGATGAATCAACTTCCCCAAAGTCACACAGCTAGTAAATGGCAGAACCAGGATTTGAACACATTTAGATTCAAGAGTCTGAGTTCAAGTTTACTTTCTTATGAGATTCCAAGTGATTAGAAAACTGGAGTTCCAGAAGGTGTTCTACTCTCTGAAATCCTTGGAGTGTAGCCATGTTTCCAGGAAACTCTTTGTGCGTGTGTAAAACAGGGATGGACAAAAGTTTAAATGGTGCGAAGTATTTTGAGCAGCCTACTCCCTGCTGCAGAAGAATGGCTGATCTACCCACTGATCTGGTGATAGTAACCAGGGGCTCCATTCAAAAGCACAATGGCAGAGCTAAAAGCTGCAGCCCGTCCATTTTACAAGCACTCAAGCCATCTTACCTATAATATGTAAGGTGGGTAAGGGGTACACACAATTTTCTTTTTTTCTTTTTTCTTGAGGAAGATTAGCCCTGAGCTAACTACTGCCAGTCCTCCTCTTTTTGCTGAGGAAGCCTGGCCCCGAGCTAACATCCACGCCATCTTCCTCTACTTTATATGTGGGACGCCTGCCACAGCACGGCATGCCAAGCGATGCCATGTCCACACCTGGGATCCGAACTGGCGAACCCTGGGCCACTGAGAAGCTGAACGGGTGAAGTTAACTGCTGCGCCACCGGGCTGGCCCCGACACAATTTTCTTGAGGATGAAAATGCATGCATTGAGTAATGAGAAGGTATGATGTTCTATTTAAAAATCACATGAGCCCTAGAATTGGAAAGCAATGGTTCTGCCCGAGAGAACATCCTTTTCCACTGATTTGTGTGTGTGTGTGTTTCTTTCCCTCCATGGAACAGAGCCTTGAACTTTGAAACCACAGTGTTTTAGTCAAGCATGGAAAGCAGCTTGGCATTTCCTTGTGTTGGAAGCTCCCCAATTTGGGATGGTAAAAATGTCTTCTTCCAGTTTCCCTTTATTCATCCAGAGCTTCATGCCAGTGGTCACCTTTATGAAATCTAATGAAGATACATTCATTGTCTGGCTGCAGGAATCTATCCTTCCTTGTCAGCTTTGCCCTGTGCCAGAGCAGCAGGTTTGAGCTCAGGGAGGATTTCCAGGTGGAAGGAGAGCAATGGTTCCATATAGTGGATGTCTGGCACAGTTCTCCTTTCAAACAGTGGCAGAGGCCAGATTCGGTTGGTGTAATTGTGCAACCTGGTATAAAGTCCAGAGCCAGCGAGGTGGGGGTATGGCTTTATCTAAGCTAACTCAGCACTCTGACTGTGGCCTCTTGACTCCCTTTCTAGCTTTCCTTACCCTCTTCTCTGCTGGCCTTCTCTGTCTCATCTCTATTCATCTCTATCTGTATATCTCTATGTCTATCTTTCTCTGTCTCCCCTCTCTCTTCTCCAACCCTTTCATTTCTGTCAGCCTCCACCTTCAGGGATCCCTAACTTGGGGAACCACCTCTTATCAAATATCTTGGCCTGCCTCCAACTGCTATGAGCAGGCGGCTCTGGCTCTTGTCTGCTGTCTGAGTGATTTTCCTCTCGACTAGTTGTTTGTTTCTCTAATCTGTTTGGAATTGTGTATAGAATCCAGGGGGGAAAAGTCCAAAAACAAAAAATGGAGCTTTTCCCTAGTGAGACTGCCCCCGTGGACTAAAATAGAAATGAAAGGAGACTCAGATTCTGCTCCCTCGAAAAGTGATATGATGCGAAGAGCACAGGAATAGCAAAGAAAAGAGAGTAAAAAGTAGCATGAGCATACAGTAAAGCCCAGGGCAAACCCTGTTGCTCCTTAGATACTGGGACATCACTCTAAGTCCTTCAATTTCCACCTGATCAGGATTTATAAAGGGTACTTTTGCCTTTAATATACCTGCCATCTTGGTCTTGCTCAAGTGGCTCTGAAGAGATACCATCTGCACCACCTCCACAGCCAGCCATATAACACAAAGCTGCAGACTCCCCGACTCCAGTGTTCTTGCTTTCTAAGAGGCGGCCTGGAGAGCGGTGGAGAAGCACATAACACAGGAAAGAAAAGAGAAGCTGGATGGAGCAATTACGTTCTAAGGTTACCTTGTGCACACAAAACCAACACATAGGGTCCAAGCAAAAACCTTTCCAGTACTGCATTGGCCTCCAAAGCACAATAGCCTTCTTTTGGATCAAAGAATGTTCCTTAAAACTTTCCTTTGCTAAGGTTTTCTCTCTTCTTATTGAGTTGTACATGTTTATTTAACATTTCTTTTCTTAACTGATTTTCACAAGGAATGGGAATGGTAGAAGTGTACATGCATGTATGAGCAAAAACATTTATGAATACTTTTTTTCTTTAGTATATGAAATAGAATGAATAGCTGGCCTTTGTGGCAATTTTCCTAGTTTTGTGATAGTAATTTTGTTGAGTTCCTGAACTTAGATGGCAAGTCCTCTTAGTGAGGCTGGCCTAATTCTATGTTCTCTATGGCACCTAGTCACTAGGGCTGTGCAAGAGCCATTATTATCCAAAGTACCATAATAATGCCTATGCCCTTCCATGACGTTATTGTTTCCTATCTGCCAGGACATTAATTGCCTTCTAACTTGCTCTAAAATTGGTAGGTAGGGCACACTGCCAAGACTAGAGAGAATAAAGCTGCTGGTAATATATTAAAAGGCTGTGTAAAGGACATACTGATATCTCCTTCTCATTGGAGCATCTTCACATTTGCATGTTACTTCATTTGTTATGGGATGTTAGTTCAGGCTTGCCTTATGTCTTGGATTCCATCTTATCGTGGTCAATGTCTGATCTTTCCTTCAACTGAATGATTCAGACATCTCTGAAGTTATTTTGGCTTTTCCACTTTCCTTTACAGGCTTTTTATGAGTCATTGAATTGAAGGGGAGGTTATTTCTAAATTGGAAGGTGAAGATGAGAAAGGGGGAGGAAAGTTCCGGAAAATAACTAGGAAAAGACACCTTATTGTTATGTATAGTTACTGGAGGAATAATTTCTGCTTAGTTTTGTTATAGAGGTATGTAGTTTATTCAAACTTGACCAAAAATATAGGCTAGAAAATAGATAATTTTTAGACTCCTTGTAGCTTGCTCTACAAAGGACAGGAGGGTAAACAGAAGAGATATGGGACAAAGAGTTGGCAGGAAGAAGAAAGGGGCAAAGCACAAAATTTTCAAAGTCCAGATTCTTGGTCCTATAGGAAGTTTCCAACCAGAAAGTAATACTTGCGAGGGAAATAACTTGTGGACTTGTCCCAAGCCATCCTTGGGTGTATGTTTCACACCCCTTCGGTTTGTGTATTATAGTTGGAGTTGTGAGAAAAGCACACTTAAATCTGATTTAGAAATTGAAAGAGTAATCAGGCCAGCATTTTGTTATTTAGGAGAAGGAAAAGTGGGTGGAAATAAAAAAGAAAAGCAAAAAGCTAATGATGGATATATTTCCAGGAGCACTAGAGTTTTTATAGCAACACCAGATTTCTCAAAACTGCCTACTGTGATTTGTACCCAAATGAATTTAAAAAAATGCAATCATTTATTCTTGCGCATTGTGCCAATGTGAGAAAAGAACCGCAATTCATTCAGTGGTCCTAATTTAGACGGCTAGGAAGGAGAGAGGTTTAGAAAAAAAGACAAGCTTTTTAAGTATCTGACACACATCTAGTAGGGCTATTTAAGAACTGCTGAACATAAAAATCACGTTGTGGGGAGGGTGGGAGAGTGGAATTCTCATTTCCAGAGCATCACAAGGGTAAACTGCAGTCCAAGCTTGCTGATGGCTGTCTGGTCACTTCGCAGGACCCAGCAGGGGTGAGTCTGGAAGCTGGACAACACTCCACATGCCACTTCAGTTTATTAACGACGTTTATAATTACAACTGAAGCGTACTGATTTCTTTTAAATAAACAGTTGTGCTTTGCCCTTTAGCACGGAGACTTCTGGAAAGAACTTCAAGGAAATTGGGCGCATTGGGACCTCAAGAAAAGAATGGGAAATTTTTATCTATCTAGCGCGTTGCTCCCAAGGAGTTGGAAACACTTCTTAAAAACCACCTCTGATGTTGGGGTTTTGTGAGCACCACCCTGTGAGTAAACTAGCAGTGATAAGCTCCTCCTCAGAGGGAGGAAGCTGGAGAAAGGGACGCGTTTACAGAGTAAACTCTACAACAAAGAGTTAACCTTTCCCGGTAACCTCGGATGTGAGCATCAGCCCCGCCCTTGCTTTCTACTGCGCAACCAAACTGCGCCCAAGCTTGAACCAACCGTGGTGGTCACATAGCCTGCCAGTTGACTTAACAGACATTTTAGGCAGCCTATCATAATTTCGAACTGCCCAACCGTCAACCAATTACAACTAAGGGTTGGTCTGGGACGCTCCTGGTCCGGGCGGGGGCGAATACCCGGTCCAGGAAAAGGGGCGGTAAGGAAGCTATGATGGACGGGTAAATCAAGCCAATCAGAGCAGAGAGCCGCCGCCCCACTATCCAATGGAGAGGTAGGAAGTATGCAACGGGGTGGGCCTGTTGTCATGGGGGAGGTGGTGGCGCTTGGTAGCTGCTGGCGGCCGAGGTAGAGGCAGTGGCGCTGGAGTTGGTCGGGGGCAGCGGCAGGTGAGTACCGGTAACGCGGGCCTGAGGTCTGGGGCTGTCGGGGGCGGAAACTCCAGCTGGGCGCTCCGGAGGCGGAGGCCAGAGGCAGAGGGCCTGGACTGCGGGCCGGGTCGCGCCGGGGCTGGGGCCAGGGCGGGGGCGGCGGCGGCGGCGAGTTGGCGCTGACTGGGCTGGTGGGAGAATGGCCTGGCTCCTGGCCGCAGAGTTCGCGTCGGCAAGGTAGGCTGGGGCCGGACCCAAGCGGGTCAGGCCGGAGTTCCCTTGGGACGTCCAGCCATTCGGGTCTGGGGCACTGACCGGCGGCCAGTGTGAGGGTTAGGTCCCTGGGGAGACGAGAGAGCGGCCGGGGTCTCAGAGAGGAGGTGACCCGCAGTGACCGGTAATGACCTGGTCCGAGGGCGGGTGACTCGGGAATACCCGGGACAGCTTGGGTGTGAGGGAGAAGGGGAACCCGGGAAGCCCGGGAGCGGCCCGAGCGGAGGGAGCTGGGGGCCGGGAAACTGGGAGTGGCCCGGGTCCGAGGGAGAAGGGCGTTGGGAAGACTGAGGGCGGCCGGGATCCGGGATGACAGGGAGCGGCCTGGGTCGGAGCGAGGGCGTCTGAGGAAAGGCAAGGAGGGGGCCGGGGACCCTCCTGAGAAAAGCCGCTGTCCGAGGGAGGAGGGTTCCTAGGGACTTAGGGAGCTGCGGGACTTAGGAGGGTCGGACCCGTGGAGACCTTGACCAGCTTGAGGAGGAACTGGAGCGCCCTGCTCCCCAACTGCTGGACTGGGATGGGAGACCCAGTCTGGGCTGGGAGCTCGTGGAGCTCAGGATCCTCGGGGGACCAGGAAAGATATCCTCGAGGAGTGGCTCGGGTTTGAGGCTGGGGTGAGGGCTCTAGCAGGGGAGTGGAAGTTCACTCAGTTGGAGAGGAGTCAAGCAAAATGACACGGGGGTGGGCGGGGAGAAATAATTTCCTTGTAGGAAGGGAGTAGTACATAGGGCGCCGTAGGAGGGAGCGAGAAACTTGCTCTGGAACAGAGCAGTGGTCTTGTGGAAACTGGCCAGAATAGTAGATAGGAGAAATTAACAGTGGGGCCATTAATAGGTTCTAAGGATTTCAGAAATGGAAGAAACTTTAGCTTCATAATACTAAGATGCCATCTAGGACCAGAGAAAAGGTCCTAAAAGCCTGGCTAAGTGACTTGCGTTCTAGTGCTTTAGAAAAGAAAATTGTTTTAGGATGACAGCAGTAATATTAGAAAGTAAGGACGTTGACAGGATGGGAAATTTGAAAGGGAAAAGAGGAGGAGTAGCTAAACTAAAGGAGTAGAACTGGAGACTTGATCAGAAAGAGGAGAGTCATGAAAAGGATAGGCATATCCCTGCTAAATTAGAAATAAATTTGAATTCTGGTTCCACCGCTTAGCTTGAACAACTTAACCTCTCTGTGTAAAAGTTTCCTCATCTGTATAATAGGGATAATAATATTGCTACTTCATAGGGTTGTTTTTTTTTTTCCACAGGAGTTAATATTTGTAGAGGTTTTAGAGTAGTGACTGGCACACAGTAAGCACTGTGTACTGGGTTGTTAAATAGAGGATAAAGACCTCAGTTCTTTAATGCGGCAGTTCTCAAACTAGCTTGCACCAGAATTGCTTGGAGGGCTTGGTAAAATACAGACTTCTGGCCCCACCCAGAGTTTCTGATTCTGTAGGTCTGGGAAGGGGCCTGAGAATTTGCAGGTGGTATTTTTGTTGGTCAGGGGACCACGCTTTAAGAACCACTTGCTTTAATGAAGACAGTAATGATGTATCAACTTGAAAATCTGTTTACCCTGCTAGGGACAGGTAGAGGCAAATTGCGTAAAAGATCCTAACATAAGGAATACATTATTTATGCCTGTTTTTCAAACTGTAGATCGTGATTTTTAGTAATTTATAAAATCAATTTAGTGGATTACTGCCAGCATTGAAAATAAAGTGAAATAGAACAGAATTGGTTAGCATTGCACTTGGTAAGGAAAAGTATTGTTTTGGGAAAGTTTTCTCATGCACGCGTGAACTAGGTCACAATGTAAAATGTATTTCTTACAGTCAAAGAGTTTGAAAAACTGTTTTGAGCCATGCAGTGCAGCAAAAGCAGCCCTTCAGTAGGGATATCTATGGACTGGGTTTATTAGTTATTTCTTTATTTTTCTTCTTTTTCTGGTAGTTCTTTCTCAGGTTGTGATACAGTCTATTAAATGTCTTCAGTTTCTGATTTGGCTTCTCCTGTGTTTGCCTTATCACATATTGAGTTACGCCTCTTTTTAGAAATTGAGAATTTTTGGCGTAAGGACTTAAGGGAACTCGAGGCAGGGAAATGAGTGGTGTTTCTCAGATGTGGTACAGTCTTGTCTCACTTGTGCCCTCTTGTTTACCTTCTGATTTTTTACCACTGTACTGTAAAGCAGTGTCTGTAAAAACCTAAATATACACAGACATATTGACAGTAAACAACCAACACTGAAATGGACTGGTTTGAGAACGGTTCATGTATAGAAAATGAGCAAAAACCAAGCACATTCCAAAAGAGAAAAATGAAAAGGTGTTTCCTTTTTAGAGAGTAAATGTGTCTTAAAGCTTTTCATTGCCTTATACTAATACAAAGTATAATATAAAAGCGTTTTTAATGGAACCAGATATACTTGAGTATTTTAGATGTCTAGATTTTTGAAGAGATGATAGTGATATATGTGACAGTAAAATGCACCTTAGAGGCTTAACTGCAAAGTAAATAGTTTATTTTGCAGGAGCTTTTGTTTTGATGGTTTTCTCCTTCAAGAAGGAACTGGATATCGCATATGTTGTAAATTTAACTTACTTGAGAGACCTAAATGTAATCTACAATACTTATTTTAAGCTATGTTAAGAATATATATGTATATTTTTTGCTGTTCTTGGTTTGATTTTTCTTCTCTTGAAAATTAGGTCGTTTATATTTAGAAAAAGTTTATGTAGATCTGTTTTTATGGATAGAAGAACAGAGAAAGCAGTATTGAAAACTGAAAGAGATTCTTGCAGCTCTCTTTAAAATCTTTAATCCAGGGGATTTATGTAACTTTTATTAATGTTTTATACTTGTGTGAAGAAACTTTGTGTAGCTTTGCATCAGGATTTTTAGGTAATTTTTTCTCTCTCAAAAATAATTTTTAGTTGTATTTCAGATTTTTATATTTCATTAAAATTTTTATTTTTGTTTGGAAGACTGTAAAAGATAATTGTTGCGTGTTTGAGTTGAAAAACTAAGCAGTCTTTTCACAAAACAAATTTACTAATTTTTTGTGACAAAAGTTCCAGATGAAAGCTTTTGAATTCCTTCCATTAAGTTAAATGGAGTATCTCTACCACCAAAATGGTTGTTCTTTAAGTCATTGTACAGTTGGTAGGCACATTTGTATAGCTCATTCAGTTTTTTACTAACTGATGGAGGAATGTAAAATCTTAATAATCCAGTGTGAGAAAAATATAAAAGTTCATTCTTCATAATTGTGAACATTGACCAGTTTGATTATTTGCTTTTTAATAAGTGGGCTTTATTTATTCATAATTTAATTATACTTATCTAATAGCTCTGATTGCTCAACTCATTTTACAATGAGATTTGTTACTCTGTAGTTGAATAAATGGTGGTTTTTTAAAATCCCAGAGAAACTGTGTGCTCCTGATTGTACAATTTAGTGAGACTCATTTTCACATATGAAAGATTATTCAGGTACTTGAGTTTAAAGAGTAGAAGTTCAATTAACACCAGTTAATTAAGTTTATTTTCTATTTCAGTAAATTTTTGTCTTCTTTTGTAAATAGCTTCTGATCTCGTTTCTCTGCTTCTTGCCTTTCAACTACCCGTGTGATAAATCCTAATGGAAATGTTGGTGCCTAACAATCTAGTTCTGTAAAAGTACGAAACTCCTATTTCTGGTTTTTAGTTTGCTGGGAGAATTCCTTTTATTGGAAAAGCTCTCTTGGTAAACTTAATCACCTTAAAAAAAAAGTCTTTTATTTAATAGAGTACTTGAAATGCTACATTTTACTCTGGACTTTCCAAAACACATCTCTTGTGTTCAAGAGATTGTAATTTCTACAGAATGGATCTTGAATTCTGCCGATTTCTGAACTCTGATATATGTTTCCTTAATGGGGCTCAGGAGAAAGGAAACAATTGTACTCCTTAAATATATACCAAAAAAAATTGCTGTCGTTTTTTTTTAATCTTGACATTATGATAAATCCTTTATTTACAAGGAAAATTTGTTTCAATATAATATAACATATTGGATATTTCATTATTAAAGGTAGAAATACTACATAAGACTTCAGGATGTTTGTTCAGATGTGAGACACAGGTACTGATAAGTGGGATGTCATTATGATAGTGCCATATATTTTTGAGAATATAAAATATGCACTTGGAAGTCTTGGGGCAAAAGTAGGTCTGAAACTAAGGAAGAATGAGGAGATTCTGACGTGTTTAAAGAGGAGTCTGGAGGATCTGCAGGAAGTATGTCTAGAGGAGAGAGCCGTTCTTGGCAGTTCTCCTGCAGTGACATATGTAAAAGAGGATGATCCTATTTGCAGCATTCTCCCATGGACATATTTTTTGTTCTGTGCAATTTCCACTGCTTGCTATAACTCTTCCTTTGTTTTCTTCCACTCAGGAAAGCACGTCAGAATGTAAGGGAATAGACTGAGAATTGGTAGTCCTAGAGGATGGGAGCTTGGGCAGGACCATGGGGGTTTAGAAGAAGGCTGGACATTTGTCTCCACTTTTGCAGCTTTTGGGAATAGGTCCTCAGCAATTGTAACTAGGCCAAGCCTTCCCACTTGTCCTTTCCATTGGAGTCTGGGATTAAGCAGTAGGAAGAGGCCCCCAGTCATCTTAAATAGATTAACCAAGGAGCGGCTATATTAATAATTAATGTTCAGTGACTCTTCCTTCTTTCCCCACCAAAACTCTTTTTCTCCCCACTGGCTTGCT